ATCTTTCAGTGATGCAAAGGAAGTAACATAATCTAATCCAATGGCAATTGCAAACAGTCAGATCAGCGCAGATCCCAATGGCCTCTTTCAGAAGGTATTTCTGGAGCTTTGTTCTCCACCCTTATCCAGGTTCAAGGATTGAAATACATCAACATTATAGGAGTTAAGGATGTTCTCCTTCTAAACAACTTCAGTAATTTGGTTGCAATTCATCATAAAGAATTTTTAACTCTCAGGGATGGTATATAATAGAAAGTTAATATCTGATAACACTCCTAGAAAGGCTGAAAATACTGATAAAGAACACTGACAAGGTAGAGCAGCAAATACATGACATCTAGAAGACACAGAAGATAAGGTTTACCAATAGAAATTAGCTCAATCAAAATATCTCACAACCCAGATGCACCTCAACACTTCAGAATTTTAAACAAACCAAAATGCCCCTAGGTATGGTTGTATCCAAGAATCAAGTATTACGGAAAGGTAGAGTACACCTCTGCAGAAATAGTGATAGTATGATATTTTCCAGACAACAGTGAAAACACATTAATGCATTTTGAGTTATACTCATTGAGGACATCCAGGTGAAACCACCAGCCGAATATGGAATTGATCAATTTAAGTGTCTGCTGAATTATTTAAGACAAACTAGCCTTCATCAGGACTCACTCTAATCTTCAATTTACTCCAGTGAAATCTTTTCCTTTGGTACGAACTCATTAAAAACACATCCATCAACAAACAAGCTGTGAAGCCACACAAGGATCGCTTGCCAAATTCTATTTGGGTTAGCTATCAGTGTATTTCACTACGTCTGAGCATTAATTATTTCTGAAACAATATTTTGTAATTCCCTCAATTTTATCGTACAGTAAATGTAAGCAATCAAGGAAAAATTTGTTCCTTTTTTTTCACTACCAGACAATATGGGAACAACCTTCCAAATATCTCAATTCATAAGAAAAGAAATAAAGCAGAAGCTATCACATGTGGCTTTTGAGACAGTATTCTCAGGTGGGAGACTGCTAGTACACTTGCCTACACGTGAGGTCAAATGTCTACTAATAGCATCCTGTCAAGTATTAGCAACTTTTTAGATCAGAAGTGTTTATAAACATCAAAATTGTGATTTTTTTTAAACACAATTGTATTTATGGATATCAAACCACATAATAAATTTAATATGGTCCAGGACCATTTTACACTACTAAGGATTATGGGCACTGATGAGTCTATATAACATCATAGAATGGTTTGGGTTGGAAGTGACCTTAAAGATCATGTAGTTCCAATCATCTGCCATGGGCAAGGACATCTTTCACTAGACCAGACTGCTCAAAGACCCAACCAACCTGGTCTTGGACACTTCCACGGATGAGGCATCCACAAATTCTCCAGGCAACCTGTTCCTGTTGTACCATGCTGGAATTCAGTATTGGATTCAGCTCCATCCATGCAGCGTTATCAAATCAGAACTAGTTTTTGGAATGGTTCCTGGTGCAACAAGCAGTTAATACATGTTGGCATGAATAGGCCTAAAGCCTTAGCATTGCTGTGTGGGCAGGAGAGGGAGGAGAGATAGATGTGTGCTGCTTGAGAGTTGGGGAACTACAGTTTCATAACACTCTTAGCTGAAGCAGTAAGAAAGCCTAGCCTGTCATAACAGCACACAATTCTCCAAATAATTATACTTTTAATATTATGACTCTCATGTAAATAAACTGCATCCCAACATAACTTGGGGAGGGTGGAGGCTAAGATCTGGAGCCACCTGATATGGGACCAAACAGTGTCATGCCCCTTTGTGACTCCAAAAATGCCCTGAGACGTCAGAGCTAGAGTTGCAGGGATGCCTGCTAGACAATCAAGTTCTAAACCCTGGAACATGCTCGTACCCAATTTCCCTATAAATAATATATTGAACAGTGGTATGGTAATAGTTCACCAATCAAAATCCATTAAACAGATTACTGCTCTTAAAGTATCAATCACAATTAATAATTCTGACTACTATATCAACTTCACTGAATACAAATTAGATTAACATTAGTAAATAACCTACTCTTTAAACATTGTTTTTTTGATATGATGACAGACACTATACTGAAAATTAGAAAAAATATTCTCTAAACCAGTACTCTTTTCTCAGTAGGAAAGAACTAACTGCAAAATAAATCACTATTGCTAAAGGTTTTAAGTCCCAAAGCAAAATAATACTTATACTGTCCTTTAGAGAAAGTATCAGATAAAAAATGTAAAAACCACCAAATAACAACCTTCTGTCAACAGTTACCAAGATGAACATTAAGCTGAAATCCCATTCATCTCCAGTGGGTCTCACAGTGCAAGTGCACTGTCATAAGACTATTCATTTCTAAACACAAAGATAATCTTCACCATTAACAAGTTTTTATAAAAGATATCACTCGATATCAGTAATAATCAATGAAACCTCCAAGAAGATAATATGAAGGTTAAGGAGGTTTTAAAAAAGTTTTGGAGGATGTTTATCGCACTGAGTAAAACCAAGCACAAAACAAGAACTAAGGTAAAACAAAATGCAATTGAGTATTTAAATTTCGACAAGCACAAACATACTTCATCATGAATTTGAGCAACAAAATACAGCATTCAATATAACGTCAACTTAAGATACTGGGACTAAGCTAAGTTAAAGCACTTCATAAGATGAACAGAATTAATACAGTTTTCCTAAAATAGTTCATGAATCTGTGCAAGCCCTGCCAGAAAAATCAACCACAACCCCAAAACAAAAATGAAACTCCACAGTAACATGTGATAATATCTGTGTTCAGAGACATCAGCCTGAGACATCAATGAAAGAAAGAACCTACAAGAAAATGAAGTAGTTTATCTAAAGAAAACCTAGTCTGGAAGAGAAGATAAGGGCAATAAGGGATTTATTTTATACTTACTGCTGAATGAACAGAAAACATAAAAGCGATAAATAACTTTTAAAAAAGAGAACGCATAAACCACAAAAGCAACCCATAGAGTCACTACAAAAACCCCCTCACAACCAAGAGATAAAAAAACCAACCAACAAAACAAAAGCCCAAAACCACAAGCCACACTCATGAAGGGAACCTGAACCTCTGTTTAGAGTCATGCCCTCAATGTCTTTAAGCCAACAACAAATGTTGATCAACTTAGCTTGAAACTTGTAACGGTCACAGCAAGCCAATATCTCACTACGTGTCTAGCTGTTTCTTTCAGAATACCATATCTTGGCTTTGAATTCAAAGTCAGAAAGATAATGGGTTTCCATTATTAAAAAAAATTTATTATCACACAAGTAGTAATTAGTCATTTACTCAGTATTTAGGCTCTTCCTTGGGAGTCCAACAGTTTAATTGTTCCCTTAATCACAACTTTAGAGTAATTTAACATAGGATCTCCAAATTCTATGAAAAAACATAAGACACTCCTCATCTAAAAGATAAAACTTCAAGCCCTGTATTGTGTGTTTGATTCTCCTCATTTAAAACATACAGCAAAAAATGAGGCATAAACCAAGATTTTTAAGGAAAACAAAATAAACAAATGCAGCGAAATTCTGAAGATTCATATTAATGTCAACAGCAGTACCTAAAGAAATGAGTAGAAGTTCTCAGCCCACCCCCTGGCCAACAATAAAACAAAAGATACAAGAGATCCAAATGAAGATTGAAGAATTTTGATGAAAAGCAAATGCATAGGATTTAATATTCAAGAATGAAAAAAGTGACTTATTCAAAAATCTTCCCCTTGAACAGAAATGAAATATGTTTCACATTACAATCTGATTGAAGCTTCTTTTCTGAAGTCAGCTCTACTAGATGCATAGAAGGTGTAACACTAGAGAAATTGTGCTTAGGATGGGGTTTGGTTTTGTTTGTGGATTTTTTTTAATGCTTTGCATGGAAAACTAGGGAAAGGAGGGACTTGCAATTTTCAGTGGGAAACTAGAGCTCCACAAATTTTTGAGATATAAGAACTCATTATTTTATGAAATGTTTTTCTGAGTTATCACATTACCTCAACTTTTGAAGACAAATTTATCAGATAAGTTGGGCCACATGCAGCAAAACTCTACCTATACTGTTTCTCATGTAGCTCTTCTCATCAATTGACAGTCCCATCTAACTGAATAGGTATTATTCCCACACAGGGAAATTCCCTGAGATGAGCTAACAATGACCATCTTAGCTTGAAACTCTAGGAATGGACAAGAAAAATCAAAGACTTACATAGATATGTGCATCAGGAAATAATATAGCATTAGTCTGAGTTTGCCTGGATGAAATAATTACAAATTATGAATTATGAGCTATATAGAAATTACATGCAAACTGTATTTCCACAAAAGGCATCAAGTCCCAGCACTGAACCAGCAGTATTTTCTTTTCTCACTTCCAGTCTTCCTCTGTTAATTTAACTGGAAGATATTACAAAAACATCTTCCCACTAGGAAGGGAAAAAGTGACTACATGAACTCTTGACACAACAAGAGGTAGCAGGCAGAATACAGTAACATGATCAATACTACAGTATTTTCTTCTCCTTTATATGGAGGACAGGAAGAAAAACATCAGTGCAGAAAACTTCAGTGAAAAAGTTAAGATTTATTAATGCAAACAAAAGTAAAACCAAATTATTTTAGTTATAGAAATTCAAAAACAGCCCTGTATCTCCCAGAGAAATATTGCCACAGGAAATGCAAAAGTCTTTTTGATTTGATTTTTTTGGCAAACAAATTACTTCTTTTAAGAAAAAGAGAATCCAAAATCATTCCAACAGTAATATTTCAACAATCAGGTCTTCCTTATCCATGGATATGTCCAATAAAAGTCCAGTTGAAAGGCAGTATTTCTACTCTTCTCCCAGTATGGAACCTCTTCAAACTTAAAATAAAGCAGCTGTCATTTTTTCTATATTATATTAAAACTGTATTTCAGTAAAAGACAAAAAAAAAGTGATAATAAAACAGAACTCACCACAACTCCGAACTGCTCTGGCTCAGACAAATTTTTATACTCGCTCTTGAACTTGGACAATGCATTCAACTGTTCTTGTTCAGGAAGGTGTTTTATTAAATTCTATAAAGAAAAATAAAATAGGTTTAAAAATCTTAGATTCTGTGTTGCTTGTATTATTGTAAGCAAATGGTATTACATATGCATCATTACCATACACTCCAAAGACAACACTCTTCCCTGAAGGCAGTAGAATGTAAATAGGCAACACACAAAACTAACTGAGAGTATAAAAAGCAAGTGATGCAATACTGCAAGCTAACACCTTTTGCTAATTCTACAGATGCTTTTGTATTTTTTTTTAAACAGTTTTTAAAGAAAGAATATGCTTAATAGGCACTATGAAACAGAACACTATGAAGCAAACAGAACAAGAATTTCAAGTGTAACGTATCCACCTAAAGGAGAGCAAGAAATACTAATGCTAGACAAAAAGTATTTTCAAAAACGATAATTTATTTTCTAGTATTTCAAAACAAAAGCTTAAACCCATTACACTTACTTACATTACTAGCCTGAAAACTTTGCTCAAAGGGGGAATTCAGAGCTGGGATTCAGCTTCAGCTGAATTTATAAGTCCATATGGGGAAGTTGGGCCCTTACATAAGTGACTGTCTTGTGAACACAGGTAAGGGAATCTAAACATTTCACATTCATCTGTTCATCTGAAGAATCTTCTGACTCCCTGGAACTTCCTGAACACTTGGACATGTATATCTACATAGAGGCACTGACGATTAGGCACCTGAACTCCACTCTAATTAGATCCTTCTAGGTTGGCTAAAAACAGCTTTTCTGAGATTCTGGAAGTAGAGAACTTCTCAAACATTTAATTATGGTACATAATTTGAGTCAATAGCTCAGTTCTGTCCCTTCCCAATACAATGACTATAACTACTAGGTAATTGTCAGTCAGTCCCCCTAGCCTGCTGTCTTTCTCAGCTTATGACTCTTGTGTTTCTGGTTACACATTGGCTAAGCTTCCATCACAGTGAGAAAAATATAAGAGATTGTTCTTTCCTAAAACACTCCCTCGTCTACTAGTAAGATCTGAATGAAACTGAAAGTTCAATCCTTTTAACACTGAAGCCAGTCAAGCAAACAGCCATCCCACTAGCTACTACTGTATTTCAAGAAAGAATCAGAAAAACTGACTCCAGCACTTCCCCATTACTTGACTGAAAAGGCACACATTTCAGTTGTCAAAATCTCTTTTTTCACTCTTCAAGTAAATAGCTTTGGTGATATATAATGAAGAGAAAAGAAATTTAAGTTGGTAGACATGATCTCCATCTGAAAGTCTTTTAAAGAAATCCCTAATTTTATCCACTAAAGATCCCAATATCAGTTAGGATATAAAAATTACCTCTCTGGGGCCAGAGAGTTAAAAAGCCATATCTATGCTTTGCATAACATACTCCCCTAGTATAAGAAGAAAGAATTTCACTCTTTAAGTAATAGCCAAAATATAGCCCTAAATCAGTAGACTGCTTCAACAGAGTGTCCATGCTCAAATAAGGGTTTTGCTAAGAAAAAAGAAAACTACTAAAAATGCATGAATGATGATGCTTGAAACAATAATGTAAACTTAAATTTTATGAGCTTGATTTGGACATGGTCAACCTGCTTTTCAGCATGACAGCAGTCATATATATATCCTTACCATTATAATGTTTGAAAAATATTTTTGTAAAAAAGACTACATCTATTAATTATGGATAAAGGTGTCCAGCCCCAAATCAGTAACATTGAGTAAAAATGAAAGGGTACAGAGTGTAAAAAAATGCATTTTAAATTAGAAATTCATAACACCTTTTTTTATATACAACATCCACATGAACAGCTCTAAATATACTACAATTCCCTAATCTTTACTGAGATTACAATGGTACTGTTTGATGCTGAAATAGTTTTCACATGTAGAAAAACTGACAAAACTTTCAAAAACCAAAAATGCTCAAGCCTTGTATGAATATTTTCAATATTCAGCATCAGAAAACAAAAAAAAAAAAGCAACCAAAACTGAAGGAGCAACTGATATCAAAGCGCCTTTATGGTATTCAGATAAAGCTTTTGAACAGTGACGGATGAAACACATTTTGAATATCAGAGAATAAGCAGGAAAAAGAATTTAGATTAAGTCACAGGAACATTCCAATAATTAGTCAATGAGTTTTTGGATTACAACATGACTTTCGGAGTTTTTACATCTTTCAGGAGAAGATTTAATTTCTAACGAACTGGGGGCAACAGGAGAGAGGGTAGAAAGAGATTGAGAGAAAATGCATTTTATTTCTTAAGCATAACAAGAGTTGGCTTAAGGACAAATTTCCAAATTCAGAAACAGCAATATTAGGACACACTGAACAATATTCAAAGCTAGACAAAAAAAACTGATGAAGGCAAGAAATTTCAAGAAAGGAGAAGTGCTGTATTGTCTAAGGTATCTTATATAAATGAGGGAAAATAGCCATACGCTTGCAAACCTATATATGCTTTCACTCTTCTCAGAACCACAAAATACACAGGACCACATTTTTATAGCATGGCCATAACGCATAATTGAGAAGGTTTTTAAAGATCGAAATAGAGACATACAGCTGGATATTTACATTTATAGTAACCTAAGGATATATGAAGGTGGATATCAAATTTTTGAAGGAACAAGGTACATTATTCTGCCACTTTCAGAGGAAGATGGGTGTCTTGAGTCGTTTTTCAAGTTTAAACTCAGATAGTCCCTTTTTCAAAGTTATTATAGGGTTGTTTTACCCACAAACAAGCAACTTGGATGAAACCATTTGATAAAAATTATTACATCCAAACTTGCAAATTAAATTTGGAGCGTAAGTTCTACTGAGTTTTCCATCTGACTTAGGCCTTCAAGTGTTTAATCATTTGGCTAAAAAATGCAATCTATATTCTTGAGTCAGTTAAATGACTGTGTTCATACAGGACATTGTGAGCTTTATCACTTGTATCCCACTACACTGACTTTCACACAATCACAGCAGTTGCTTCTCTTACCCTTTACTTAAATAAAATTGTTCCTTCCCCCCCAAAAGCAAACACAAAAAGATTCAAACACTGTCAAAAACACTTTGTACTCAATTTTGATGCCAAGAGAGGTTATGGGATACAGTGACTTTCAACATACTTTACTGGTAATATGAATTAATAGAGCCACAGGATGATCAGTATAATGTCAAAAGTATCTCCTATTATTGTTAAGGATGCCTACTGCATAGATACTGCAGTGGGACTAGGTTGTCTTAGATGCTTTAAATATACAGAAAATCAGACATTCTTTATCCCAAGGCATATACAATTATAATGAAAATAACAGTCCATAGAAGAATTTAAAATTAATAATATAAAATAAAAAAATTCTCAGTAAAAATAAAGTTTCTCTTCTCAGTTTATTGCAATTTCACATAGAAGTATGCCATTAATTAATTAATTATCCACTAATGGTTTGATCTTCTTTCTCCCCAGAGTCTATATGCAAAAGTATGTTTTGCCTTCTTTAAATATTACATATGGTAATTATCTAGATAATATTTATTTATTAAAAACTGGTTGCTTCATGTTATTGTCGAGTACCTAATGTTGCTAACAAGCTAAATTTTAACCATTGAAAAACAGTGCTAAGATCAAATAGCACAAGAGAGTCTCAGAGCAAGTATGTACTACCTGAGACAGAGCCCAAGATGAAAATAACAGCATATCATATTCTACCTCTCAGCTTTTCACACTACCATAGAGAATTTCTACTATTATACAAAATAAAAAAAAGTATATTGCAGCATAGAAGAGTCCTGCACAAAAGACAGGAGAGCAGGGCCCATCGTGTACAACAGTAACTTGGGAAGACGAATGCCATCACTCCAAACAGGTCCCCCCTTCCTCCTTCTTTCTCCCACTTTATATACTGGGTATGATGTCGTATGGTCTGGAATATTCCTTCTGTCAATCTGGGTCACCCGTCTTGGCTGTGTCTCCTTCCAACCTCCCATGCACCCCCAACTTCCTTGCCAGTATGGCAGTTTGAAAAGCAGAAAAGGCCTTGGCTATGTGCAAGCCCTGCTCAGCCCTGTGTTCAGCACAAATCCAAAACACAACCTCATATTAGCCACTGTAAAGAAAACTAACTGCATCCAAGCCAAAAACAGCACAAGTTGCTTTCATAAAAATATTAGTGTTTCAAATATTGAAAAATCTACAGATCACAGAAAAAATATTCTTGCAGTTATTTATTAGCCCAAGTTTACGTTAAGAGGTTTTTTAGTTATAGTTTTTTATCTACTGAGAAGCTTCCCCTGAAATATTGGGATTTTAAATGCATTTTTCCTTACCTGAATCATGGACTCTGATAGTTGTGTTTCATCTACTTCCAGTATCATCATTTTGATTTCCTCATAAGGCACTCGGAAAGATCCAAGGAAAATTGCTAAAATAAAGATTCCACAAATAATGAAAAAAGCAAGACAACAATCTTGTTTCTACTTACAAAACACCACTAAAACAGGTTTTAACATCTCCACGTTAACAAACACTATACAAAGTAATATAGGTAAGAGATAGTAATTTTTAATGCATTTTTAATTACTGTTCTCCTTCAATTCCAGCCTTCTCCATCCATTTGTTATGCATAACATCTAGCATCACACAAGACTTCCATAAGCAGTCAGTGACAAGTCTACTCTGAAGGAGAATCACTGCTGTTACAACATTTTGTGCTGAGGTGACAATTACTTTTTTTTCTTCAACAGTCTTATCAGAGCTTTCTCTTAAAGAAGCACCATGATAAACCAAAACCATATAAACAGAATACAAAATGCTCTTATAAACACTCCTTGATCATTCACTATAATCCAATTATTTCCTACTTTATCCCTGCTGGCATTTAGGAACCTAGACTTCATAGCACTCCACTCTGTCAAAACTTTATCTGCTTCGTTTGCATATTATTGCATAATTCTGACTATTATGTATAGTTTATTTAAATAATAAACTATAGTTTATTTCTATAAAGTATATGAGATGGCCAAACATCCTGCGGACATTACTGTCCTTTTTTGCCAGGGGGGAATGCTGGGGGTGGGGCAAGCAGTATTCCTTGATGAATATGCTGAAAAAATAGATAGATAATTAGATATACAGCTGTATGTTTGTACTTCAATATATACAGACTTGAACAAGGAATAATCTTTAACTGTTTTCTGGGTCTTTTTAAGTGTTTCAGTTGTATCAACTCCCAAGCTTGGGCTTAAAAACAATACGCACATTTTCTCACACACTTTAAACAAGAAGTGGTTACCAGGCAATAAGACAAGAGAAAGGCATTTATATGGAACATTTATGCATTACTCTGTGAAAAAACAAACCTCCAGAATCTACTTACACAGATTCTGCGCAATCTTTGGGTCCAAAACTTTTAATTCTTTGATTCGTTTCTTAATGGATTTCTTTTCTTCAAAATCATCCTCCTCTCTTTTTACTGACAAAGTAAACACAAATACACTCACAGTTAATTCTTAATATTTAGATAAAACAGTCGTGAATTCAGAAAGCATATTTACTATCAAGTATAGTCAATTCACAGTGAAAAAGAACATGTAATAAAACACAGTCAAAAAATAGAGAGGTTTTGTATTTATTGCTTGTATTCTCAAAACTTTTGCTCTTCAGTCAAATCTGTCAGCATGTTAGCCTTCTAGATTTATTTTTTTTATATATATACAACCTGAGTAAAGACTCTAATGTTAACTGTACAAATATGCTGGAGTCATATTTAAAATATCATGCAACATGTTTCGGTCACCCTGGTCAGGTTAGCATTCTGAACTGGATTTTAACAATAGAAAATCTTAAAAAAATATTTCAATATGTCTCAACGCTGAGCAACAAAGAACCAACCTAAAATCTAACTATTTTTGTGGCTGCTTTTGTCTATATGTACCAAAATTATTAAAGACTGGTTTATTAAAAAAATAACATTACCTTAGAATATAAATGAGTATATTCCTCCAAAAAGATGTATTTTTAAATATATGATGTAATCACACTTTTACAAAATACCGCAAAGTGACTCTATATGTTAATATTGCTGTAAATTCTGGTTTATTCCTTCTTTTCAGAAAATAATTCATAAAATAGGAGTTACAGAATGCATTATGTAAGCTCAACTTATTTCTCATTATTTGCATATTGTCATAAGAATTTCACTTAAAATAACAGCATAGGCTTGCTAAGGTATTAGTAGGGACAGTTTCAATTATTATGCAAACAAACTAAAAGACCAAACTCACACAAATCTTTCTTAAACACAATCTGGTTGTCCTTTTTTTTCCTTTCTTCCTTCCTTCCTAGCACAAATCTTCAGTGTCAAATGTTATTTACCCAATGTACTGCTACTCTATACTATTTCACAAATGAAATTAGTTTCCAAGCTTTTACAGTATGATTGTTCTAAATTGTTATTCATGCTTCACATATTTGAGAGTAGAAAATATGCTATAATAATATGCTACTGACTTCCAAAGGAGATGGATGTAGATGAGAAGTCCTGTCAAGAAGATGTAGGATTAAAATTTCTGGCTCACTGATGATTCTTGACAAAACTAGGCGTAAACATGAATTATCAAGAGGATTTCCTTGAGTTGAAATTAATTCCAAAAATGTTAACAGAGATATTTGAGAGTTATGTCATTCTTAAAAAGTGTTTTTCTAAGCACAATAAATTTTGCCTAAGATTGGGACACAGAACAAATGACCTCGAGGTCTTTGGGCTTTGTTGTCTAGAATACAACCAAAGAAATAAGGACCTAAACACCTCACACAGGGATTGAAGGAACTAGATTCAAGTCCCTTCTGCATTGACGGAGACACAAATTTCAATCATCTCACTCTTAATTCTCTACACCTGCTAGGCAGCATGATGCTCTTGTGGACATGCCACAGTGCAGAAAAGAACCTGGTATTCTGAAAAAATGAAATCACTGAGCTAAGACATAAAGCAGTTGTTGGAAGAAGGACTGATAACCAGAGTCCTGGCAAAGGGGTTACGAAGCTACATACCCTCATCTTTTGTCTGTCTTAGCACTCTACCCACACAATCCCGTTGGTCTTGAATTCCTTTTAGCACGGATTTAACAGAATAGTTAGCATTCTCCTGTACCAGGAAAACTACACACACTGCTTACTACACATGCAAAAGCAAAAGTAGGTTTTAACTACCAACGTGAGAACTCAATGTTCCATGTGCAAATGAATAGAATGACATTTTAGCTACTGGATGAAGAGAAGGTTACCAGTAAAGGTTCACTTTTCCTGGTTATGCTTTAAGAAGAGCCCAGAAGGGCATGTCTAGGGGCTACAGATCTCAGAATCATGCTACTGTTTTCTCCTGCAGTCCACTTTAGCAGACCACTCAAATTTTTTAACAACTACATGCTGAAAAGAGTCATTCTTAAAAGCATGATTTTAAGCTGAAAACAGTCATTCTTAAAAGCATGCCTGTCTTGCTAGAATTGCAGATTCCCCTAGAAGACCTGGACATCTCTGGACCAGAGGTTCCATGCCATCTTCACGCCTTATGTAATGAAAATATTGTAATGCTTTATGGCTACTTTGGAACTTGGCAAATAATTATTTTACAAGAAACAAAATAATTTCCTTTTCAGTCACAATAAACAGAAGTGAAATTATATGAATTTATTAATTTCCTTAAACTTGCCCTGATAGCCTTGAACTGGATACTAATAGGGGCAGAAACAGAAAAAAAATGTTTGCTTTTTCCAGTACTAGAAAGAAATATTTATTCATTACAAGTCTTATAACAGAGATAATACACAGATACATAAACGTAAAAAAAAAAATCAACAGTTAAACAGGCACTAATTAACTCCCCACTTCCAAATCAAGAAACAGGGATGCAAATGAACTGGCTAATTCACTCAGGAATTTTCACCCAAGAGGGCATTATGCATAATGTTACTGCACTACTTAAGGCATTGCAACAGTAAGGAAAAATGTATAAGCATAAAACATATCTACTCTAGGAAACTCATGCAGGAATTGTATGCAGAGTTCTACAATTATGCAACAAACTAAATTATTGTAAACTTACATGATACTTCTTCAGGAGAATTGAGGTCACATCCTTATGTTGGTGGCAGCAATAAGAAGCAGAGGATACATATTACTTGTCTTCCTTGTTTGAAATGTTGCAGCTTCCAATCAAAACTCTGATACCTCCTACTGCCTCTAGAAATTTTTACCTCACTTGCTATTGTCCTGGTTTTGGCCAAGGATAGCACTAATTTTTCACAGTAGCCATGGCTGGGGTGGGGGGAGCCTGGAGCCATGTGGGCTTGGCCAAGACATTCTGCTATTCCATACCATCTTATGTCATGGCTGGGGGGCAGGGAAAAGGTACTCTCCCTCACTTTCCAGAAGGGGCGAGGGGTATTCCTTTACTGGGGGAACAAGTGGCAAAGGGAGCAGTGAGGTAACACCGGTCCTGACCAGATGGTCTGTCCCCCATTGTTTTTCATTGTCTCGGGTCTGGGGGAAAAATGTGGGCATAGGATGGTCTGTCCGACATGTTGTTCACTGTCCCAGCAGGTAAGCAATTTTTGCTTGCAAATCACCCTCTTTTTGTATACTTTTGTTATTAATATTATTGCTGTTCCTGTTTGTTTTCTTATCGCATTGCTGTTTCCAGTAAATTGTTTTTATCTCAACCTGTGATTTCTGCATTTTGTACCTCCCACCAGAGCAGGAAGGCGAGCAAGCTGGGGGGAGAGGGTTCACCAAATTAGGGAATGCCACTCAAAAACCATGACAGCTAATTAACTTATAAGGTAGCAAAAAAAGGAAAGAAAAAGGCCCCAGAAGCCTAAGAGATGTAACTATTATCTATTTCTAACAAGAAAAAAATGGAAAAATCCTTCCACAAGGGGGGGAATTATTAGAAATATCTGAATAGGTGAAGTAAGTATCCAGACTAAAAGGCAATCAAAGAAAATAAGCAGTTAGATTTTCATTTGTGGAGGGGACTGGAATAGAAAGGAAAGTATACGGAATATAGAAAATTGGAATATCTGCTTATACTGGAAAAAGAGAAAGCAGCCCACTGCCCAGTGGGCAGCTGCTGCAGAAAGGAGGTGACTACTGAGGGAAATAGATGCAAGATGTTATCAAGCTAACAAGAGAAGAATCCAACCAAGGGATCTCAAAATACACAGACGGCTCTCATGACTCCAGAAGTTGGATCAACATAATAAACCACTAGCTTTTTTAAAATTATGTGTCTTATTTCAGGTATTATACAACTAAAAAGGAATGTTACATGTCAAGAACTGCACACCCTTTGAAGTTCTGTCTATATGCTACATCTATCACATTGAGGGGCATACACATGAACCGGACAATATTTTGTCAGTAGTACCACACCTGATGCTTCAACTGCTCTGCCCTCTCAGGCTGGGACACAAAGTGCTAGAGCACTTTGAAACACACAGAATTCACGTCCTACCCTTAGCAGTTCCTCTTATCTCCATATCCACAACCTTATTAGCATGACTCTAAAATTAATAATGTGGTTGCCAGCATATAGATGGACAAATACCTCAAAGGATTTTTAGATATTAGCCAGATTGCTTTTACTTTCTCCTTTAAATATCTATCATGGCTAGGCTTCGCAAAATATGCATTCAAATGTAGTCAACTACCTCCATCTGATGGAGGCAATGACCTGACTGAAATTAGAGTTCTGAAAAGAGTGATGACAGGACTGTTTTACAAATATCATAGTTGGAAGCCTATAGAATAGCACTTCATAAAAATGTGGACTGGATAGGATGGAGCTACTCTGTAGAACTCTGAAACAATTACATTCTTGGTAGGTGCCACTGAAATAATCTACATTCATGAACTGCTATGTACATTTCCATTTCTGCCACAGGTCTTGATATAATCTGCTATCCACAATGTTTTTGTAAGAAAAATCATGTCTCTGCATCTGTATGCTAAATAAAAAAAAAAAAAATCTTCTAAAATACATCATCCTACTGAAAAAAAAACCCAACAAAATACCCTTGAAATACAGACTTCAAAAGGAATGTACCGATATGAACATTTATTTTAGAAAATATGAGTTCCTATTTCAGATGAAACTTGAAAACTAAATTACACAGAACACTCAGTGGGTTATTTTGTCATTAAGTAACAGAGCATACAGAAAACCATATGACCTTGCACCTTTCGTAGCCTCTCAGCTAAGACAACAGTCATCTTACATTCTGTCTTCACTGAAAAAGGAAAGAAGAAGCCTGGAGTCATGGGATCAAAGGATGTACCCATACAATCCCATTATAAAAGTAGATGCCTACTTCATCTGTTTAGAAGTCTAATTCTTAGAAGTAAATGACAGCTTACATCCCATATAGTAGGATATTCAGCTGAAAGACCTGTAGTCTTTATCTCCAAAAAGTT